ATTCTTGCAGCCTGTTAAATTTGTCATTATGCTCTTCTCTAATCCTTTTAATTGCCTCTATTGCTTGTTCTGCATTTTGATTAATTTCCTTCCTAATTTCTTGAAGAGTTCTGTGTATTAATCTTTTGTCTTCTGCCTCTGGTAATTCCAAGAAATTTTCCAGAAGGGGAAAATTTCTTGATTCTTTATTTTGGGAGCTTGCTGAAGCCATCTTGGACTGCCTCTTTATGTGATTTGATGTTGACTGCTGTCTCCGAGCCATCAATAAGTTATTATATTTATTTATTTTATGTTTGCTTACTGTGTCCTAGCTTCTTCTTTTGTTTTGATATTCCCAATAGGCTGTTCATGTGAGCTAGTTTGATTATTGGCACCTCTGAAGCTCTAATGTCCTGTCATCAAACGGTTAGATCTGTTACTTTGTATGCACGCTCAGGAGTCTGCTCACTCCTCCTGTATGAATTCAGCTCAGGAGCCCAGGTAGATAGCCACCAAGTGTGTGGTGTAGGCTCTCACTTAAAGTCTTAGACAGGCATGGGTAATTAGTGTAGGCACAGGCATCTGGCTGCAGCAGGGGGACACACTCTGAGCAAGGCAAGGGGTGACAGCTGCCCCCAAATATCCAGGAGGAAGGTGTTTCCCTGTTCCCTAAATCACGTAGGTGGGTGGGTTTTGCAGCTGGACTATGAGCACCTAATGCTGTTGGCTGTAAGGACTGGGGGGGAATCTCTTATTCATTGGCCCCTATTGCAGGTGGCTAGGTGGCATGGGTGGAGACACCAGCCCTCAGGCCCCTTATGTGAAGACCCTGCTTAATGGGCAGAGCAATGTCAAATGTCAAGAACCTGCCACTTCACAGCGGAAACAGTTGAAGTTAGAGTTCTGGTATATACCCTGTTTTACAGTGGTAATGAGGGCCTACGCTATTGAGATGGGCCCACACAAGTCTATGCAGGGGGAAAGGCACTCAAAATCCATGGATCCCTTATGCTTGTGCCTAGGCAAAGGAGCTGTGCCTACCCTGGTTTCCTGGCTTGGGGGATCCGGCAGTTTATTTTTTCTTCTGTTTGTTAATTTGTTCACTCTCCAAGGCTGGAAGAATGGCTCCGGGTGTGTGACGGATCCTACTTCCAGCCCAGGGGACTTGGCAATTGCTGAAGCCGGTCCGGGACCCAGTGTAGAGCAGGGAGCGGGGAGGTAAATGGGAGAGAGGTTTTTCCCTAAGGGGGGTGATTTTGATCCTCGTGGTAAGCTGTACACAAGTACTTATCTTTCATGGAGGGCTGCTTCTCACTTGTTCTGGGTGGCGGTGTAGACTGTCAGCGGCTGGGTCTTTCCTGGTGTGGGAAATGTGCCTCCCGAGCACAGCCGCTTGCCTGCCTCACTGCTCATCCCAGAGCTGATCAGGCCTGAAGGGCTCAGGCTCTCGTCAGGTCAGGTCTGGCACCTCTTCACTGCTTCAGAACTGTCTCTCCCTCCTCCTGCCACTCAGTCCAGTTCCTCTACTCTGGCTTTGATGTTCAGGGCTCCCAGATTGCCATATATAATTGAATCACTTGTTTTGTTGAGTCTTTGTTGTAAGAGGGTCCACCGGAAGCATCTGACTACTCCGCCATCTCTACCTGCCTCTAAATTGAACAATTTTAATTAAAAAATTTAAAATTAACTTTAAAAATTTTATTTGTTTGTTTTAAATTTGCTGTTCTGATAGTAACCTTTAGTTGTCTTCACCCTTGAACAGCAATCAGTTTGGGTATAAAATTCTAGGGTCATAATGTTGTTCCCCCAAAGCTCTTCACAAATTGTCCCACTGTCTTTTGTCATTTTCATTGCAGAGAAGAAATCTGAGTCCTGTTTATTTCAATCCCTTTGAAGGAACCAAGTCATTATTTTATTTTTCTGTTTGTTTTAACAGCAGTAGTCTTTTAATTTAAATTGTGAAATTTCCACCTGGAAACCTTCATCTCATTTCATGAATTTTTTTTCCTTGTTCATGTTGAACTCTCTCAACATGCAATTTCATATTTCTTTTCAGATCTGGAAAAAAATTAAATATACATTTTTATTCTTGTTTATGATCCAGCTTTCCATTTTATACTTTTAGAATACCTATTATTTGTCAATTATTTGTAGGTTGGATTTCCATGACTTGTCCTCCCATATATTTCTGAGCTGTTCAAACTGTCCTTATTAATTTCACATTTGGGAGTATTTCTGAAGTTAATCTTCTCCATTATCAATTTTCACATTGTCAAATTTGTCTTTCATTGTTTCTAGTATGGAAACTGCTGGACTTTTTCTCCATTTGTCATGGTCCCATCCTATATCACTCTGTTTTTGTTTTTAATCTAAGTCTATTTCGTGGACTCAAGCATACCAGTGATCATGAAGATGACGCAGGATTGGGCAACGTTTGTTTTTTTATTCACAAGTTCCCTATGAGTCAGAGCCAACTGCATGGCAACTAACAACAACAACAACAGCAACATTCTTTGGTTTAATGGTGGCAATGTCCTCTCAAATCCTTTCTGAGATGACCAACACCTCTGTGAGCTCCCAGGCAATGTCTGTGACGGATCGCCAGGATTTGAGTCCCGTTGAGGGGCAGTGCAAGATATAGGCCATGCTGCTGATGAAGAGAGGATGGGTTTCCACTCAGAAAAAAAAAATGAAGAGAAACAGGGTAGGAGGTGAATAAGGGCCGGGTGCAGAAACAAAGTATGTTTTAGGTAGCATACTGAGCACTTCACATAGTGACCTCATTTAGTCCTCATGAAAACCATGAAAGTGAGTATTATTATCCCAGCCTGTCTCTCTGTGCACCCAACACTCTTCCTACACTGAACTGGATGGGAATGGAGAGGCGTTCAGAGGAGAGCAAAGGGGCTTTCTGTTGCTGTAGTTAGTAGTCATTAAGTTGGCTCTGACTCTTGGCAACCTTATGTATAACAGGGCTAAACATTGCCTGGTCCTGCCCCATTTCCACGATCTCTGATATGTTTGAGTCCATTGTTGTGTCAATCCATCTCACCTAGAATTTTCCTTGTTTTCGCTGACCCTCTGCTTTTATCAGCTATGATGTCCCTTTCTAGCTACAGGTCTTTAGTGATGATGTGTTCAAAGTAAGTAAGATGAAGTCTTGCCATCCTTGTTTTTAAGGCACATTCCAGTTGTATTTCTTCTAAGACTGATTTGTTTGTTCTTCTGGCAGTCCGTGGTATATTCAATACTCTTTACCAACACCACAATTCAAATGCATAAATTCTTCTTCTGTCTTCTTTTTTCATTGTTCAATTTCCACATGCATATGAGGCAATTGAAAATATCATAGCTTTGGTCAGGCATACCTTAATCATCAAAGTGACATCTTTGCTTTTTAGAACTTCAAGAGTTCTTTTGCAGCAGATTTGCCCAATGCAATATGTTATTTAACTTCTTGACTGCTGCTTCCATGGGCATTGATTGTTGATCCAAGTAACATGAAATCCTTGACAACTTCAATTTTTTCTCCTCTAAAACCACCACTGCCGTCGAGTCGATTTCAACTCATAGTGACCCTATAGGACAGGGTAGAACTGCTCCATAGAGTTTCTAAGGCTGTAAATCTTTACAAAAGCAGACTGCCACATCTTTCTTCCATAGAGCGGCTGGTGGGTTCACACTGCCAACCTTTTGGTTAGCAGCTGAGCGCTTTAACCACGGTGCCACAAAAACTCCTTTTTCTCCTCTGCTCCCCTGATAATATTAACATCTTACCCTGTTTAAACCAAAATAGTATCCTCACTAAAATCTTGTGAAGTTGACAAGATAAGCATCATTATCCCCAGAGAAGAGGAAACAGGTTCAGAGAAGCTTAGTTGAGACTGAAGCTGTGGTCCCTGGATACATGTGTTGGTTTTTGCTTGCTGTTGCCAGAGTAATCACTGACAAAAACAGAACGTCACCTCTTGTGTGCTCCCTGGCACCTTGTCAGGAAGTCTCAGCACCCCATGACTCACAGAAAGGCATCATGTCCTGTTGTGCAACTTTCCAGAAGCTCTAGATTAGTGCTTCCTCGTAGCTGTCCTAGGAGCCCATGTTGGCCATTGGAGGTGTGCACATGAAGGATGAAGAAGGCTAGGCCCTGGGGCTGCTCTGGGTGCTCTTTGTTTCACGCAAGGTAAGGAAGAGGCATGAGCAAGTGAGGCCTCTGTTCTGGAACTTCATGGGAGCCCACTGCGAGAAAGATTTTTCTTTCCTTTTGAACCTCCAGAGGACATAGCCACCTCAAGATAGAGCCAATCAGAAGTTATGCCAGACTGGGCTTCTTTTCCAAACTTAGCAGGTCAGGAGAACATACAGGGAGGCCAGAAGAGAGGAGAACAGAAATTAAAGAAGGAGAGATTTAGGGAAACAGATTTCTGTACATTTTGATGTTGTCAGAGATGTGCAAAGTCCTGTGTGGGAATAATGATGCGGTAAATCTAATCTTAGTATGATCTAAAATAATTTTATTTGATGTTGAAATACTTTTTTCTTATATTCCATTCTGGTGCTTTCAATGTTGGCAGTCTATTAAACACAAAAAGGCATAATTCATTCAATAAATATGAGCTAGGAAATACGCTACAGCTGCAGACACAGAAGTGGACAAACCAGGTTTGGTCCCCGTTTTTGTGGAGGGTGTAATCCCAGCCCTCCATTACATCCTGGAGTTGGAAGGCACTGCCGCTCAGCTCAGGAGAGCTGGTTTATCCTCACGCTCCCTCCTATACTCTGCACAACTCACACCTTCACTAAAAATGGGAACATTTGGAGCTTTTAGTCCCTCCTCCTCCTAATCCTTATGGATAAGTTGGGAAAAATAAATGGAGTGAGTGAAAATGTCAACAGTGGGTGGAAAACAAGACTTGCCTTGGAGAGATAGGAGATCCCAGGGAGAGGGTGTTCTCCTGGAATCCCACCACCTTGAGCAAGGTCACAGACACTCGCCTTGCAGAACATGCACACAAATGTTGCTTTGGGTCTCCTTGGAGCTGGGGTAATAGTCCAGGTGAGCAGATGGGAGTTAGGTTCTTGTGGACCAGTATCTTTCCTTATTGTGTTTTATTCATGTTCTTCTGAAGAACTAGGAGAAGATGGAAGGTTAAAGTTTCTGTATTTGTGTGGGATAAAACTAGTGGTATATATTTCATTGTATCCTATTTGTGTAGGCTAAGGATTAACCTAAAAGCTCCTGCTAGCTCCTATATTCCAGGAACAGAACTGCCAGACACCTATTCACTCTTGCGCTGGGACTGCCCTAATCTCAGTCAGACAACTGTGCTGGACAATGAGCTAAGAGGTTTAGAGCTGATTCAGGAGTCAGTCTACCTTGGTTTGAATCCTGGCGCCACCACTTACTACTGTGGGACCTTGGGTAACTCACTTAACCTTCTTCAGTTTCCTTACCTGCAAAATGGGAATAATAACAGTATCAACCTTATAAAGTCGTGAAGATTAAATAAGATAGTATTTTAAAGCACTTAGCATATAGCACTCAATAAATGGTATTTGTTATTATATTTTATTACCATATTATAAGAACTCCCCTTGCAATGGTGCGTCTTAGTTTCTTACTCTCCCCTTTCATAAGAGATAGGTAAATTTGTAGGCAATGTCAGCTTCCTGTAATTCCAACCTTCCCCCAAGGGGGAAAATGATGGCAAATGATGGAGAATTATCTGTAATATTACCATAAGAGGTTAGGGCTTTAATGGGGAGCACTCGAGGGAGGGTGGAGCCCATGTCCTGTGTCTTGCGTAGTCCTGGCACAGTGCCTGGTACGGAGCAGTCCTGTGCATTGTAGGATGTTCAGCAGCATCCCTGGCCTCTACAAAGGGATGACAGTAGCACCCACTCCCACAGTTATGACAACCAAAGATGTTTTCAGACATTGACCAATGTCTCCAGGGGGACAAAATCACCCCGGTTGAGAACCACTGTTGGACATGCTGTTATACTTAGAAATCTTCTGGATGCAAGTGACATGAACTCAAAGAAAGCAAAAAAGAAGGAAGGTTCATGTAATTGGGAAGTACAAAAGATGGTGCTAGTTTGGGGCACAGCTGAGTCCGTGACTCAGACAATGTTGTCATCTCTCTCTTTCTGTCTTGATTTCTCTCTTTCTGTCTCTCTCTCATTCTCTCTCTCTTTGCCTCTCTTTAATCTCATTCTCAGGCAGACTATCTCCACATAGTGGAAAGAAAGCTACCGAAGTTTCATATCCCACTAATCTATTAACCCCAGCAAGAAAGAGCATTTTTCTTAATAGCTACAACCATCTCCGGGAAGATTCTGATTGGCCCATGCCAGCTCACGTTCCCATTCTTAAACTAATCAGTATGGCCGGGGTACTTTGATTGACCAGTCTTATGTCCATCCTTGGGAATGTGAATAGCCCTATCAGTAGAGCCACATAGGATTATCCCCTGAAAAGCAGGTGCTTTGCTTCCCAAGTAAGGGAGAGAGGAGTCCTGGGACACTCAGATCCCAATGTCCACCATGCCTTCAAGATGGCTTCCTCGCCATTTTCCAAATAGTCTCTTGAACTGATCTTCTTTTCCTGACTTCAGTGAAGTTCCTCAAGCTCTCCTGGAAAATCATTCTCTGTTAGTATCATATCTTCACATCCATTCTTCACTCTATACAACTCTCTCTATATATAACCTTTCACTCCTATCATGCCTAGTCACTCATGGTCTTAGCATACCTGTTCCTTGTCCTGCCTCCAGCCAGGTAATTTCTTTCTTTCAAAATGGTCATTTATAAAATTTTGCTTTATATAAACCGCATATAGTCTGGAAGAAAGGCCTGGCTATCTACTTCTGAAAATCTGTCAAAGAAAACTCTCTAGATCACAGTGGTCTGATCCACAACTGATCATGTGGCTGGCCCAGGACCAGGTAACATTTCAATCCACCCTGCATGGAGTCGCCATGAGCTGGGGGCCGACTTGAGGACAGCTAACAACAGCAACGTATATAGTCTAGCTCTTGTAGTAAACAAAACAAAACAAAAAACAAACTACTCAGAGTGGAAAGACCTGTGGTCTAGTGCTGGCTTGCAGGGGAATTTACATCTTTTCTGGAAACCTCAAGGACTTTATCTGAAAAATGGGTGGTTGGACAAGAAAAATGGGTGGTTCTTTTCTCTCTCTGTCTCTCTCTCTCTTTTTTTTTTTCCAAAGAGGGAAAAGCTATTCCTCACAGAGCCTAACTCTGATGCTTTGCTTACAGAACTCCAAGCTGCAACTAGACCAGCTGAGGAAAAGTACGCCCTAGCAGAGGGACAAACTCTGAGCTTGAGCTGTCCCTTCACCATCTGGAAGTACTCAAACAGCTAGGCTTGACAGAATCTGCAGAATGGGGCTGACCCCCTGATGCTGGCCCTCACAGAGAGTACCTCAAGGCAGCCTAGCCAAGCCCAAGTGGGGAGGTATGTGCTAGAAGACATCACCCAGGAGGCCATACTGAATGTCTGAGTGACCAACCTTTAAATAAAGGACTTAAGACTGTATTGGTGTGTCATCTACCATCCTCTTGCAGATCCTGTCATACTGTTCCACCCGGTCTGCCTGGTGGTGACCAGTGGTGAGTGGCCTAGGGGTGGAAGGTGGAAGAAGGAAGAGCCAGGCCAGGTGAAGATGGGGCAGTGATGGCAGCACCAGCAGAGCTGTGGCTTAAGATTCCTAGCAGCCTATCTTTCGCCCAGAAGGTTTTTGTCTTCATTTGAGGTCCTTGACAGGCATTTGGTCCAATAGTAAGTAGGGGCTTCCACACATGGGATTCCGTTTGTTAGTATCATGTGTTTACATCCACTCTTCACTCTTTACGTCTCTCTGTATATATATAACCTTTCCCTCCCATCATGCCCAGTCACTCATGGTCTTAACACACCTGTCGCTTGTTCTGTCTCCAGCCAGGTAATTTCTTTCTCTCAAAATGGTCATTTGGGGAGCTAAAATGGGGTGCAGTGAAAAGTGAGTGGTAGACTCAGGATAATTCTTCCATCATTCAGGTCTCCACTTAGAAGTCATTTCCTTGGGAGCCTCCTGTGGTCCATCTTTCCCTCCCAATGATGCATTTGGTGCCTCTCCTGGTGCTTCTAAAGCTATGCTGCTCAGACTTTCCTATGGACACAAACTGCATGATTCAAAAGCAGATTCTGATTCAATAGGTCTAGGGTGGGACCAGAGATTCTGCATTTCTAATCAGCTGCCAGGGGATGTGGAGGCTGACAGTTTGTGACCCCCGTTTTGGGTAGCAAGATTCCCCTAAAATAGAGTGTTGTCCCCTCTCATAGACAACACTATCCCACTGTATACCAATATAGTATAGTAGTGTACTATAGTAGTATGTTGTTGTTAGTTGGCCTCGAGTTGATTCTGACTTACGACAACCCCATGTGTGCAGTGTGGAACTCCTCCACAGGGTTTTCAAGACTAGCCTTTCAAAAGCAGATCGCCAGGCCTGTCTTCTGAGGCAACTCTGGGTGGACTCAAACCTCCAAGCTTTTGACTAGCAGCTGAGTGCATTAACCGTTTGCACCACCCAGGGACTAATGTAGTACTGAAGTGGCTGGTTTACTTATCTCTCTCCCCTATCAACCTCTGAGCTCACTGAGGACAGGGCCTGTACTTTACTCAGCTTTGTATCACCAGCATCTAATGTAGTGTCTGTCACACAGTAGGACCTCTGTAGATGTTGATTGGGTAAATTAAGGAAGGCAGAGGAAAAGGAAAAGAGATTCAAGGTCCTTGGGGAATTCTAGTTCGAAGGAAGACAAGATACATATACAATATATTAATAAAAGATAACTTGTAAAGGAATACAACACAGGTACAGGTGAATTGAAGATACAGTAAATGGTATAAGGCAGGGTAGTCATGGAAGGATTCTTTGGAAAGGTGGATTGGTGAAGAATAGACAAGTACACTTTCAATGACACAAATAATCTGAAAATTCTCTTTTCCTTTTTTCCTCCCTCCGTTCCTCCTTCTCTTTCTTCCTGACTCTGACTCAGGCTAACTCCATGCTATTTATTTGATCCTAGTGAAAGACAACTTTGTTCCCTAAATGGTCATTTTCATTTCCCTCCTTAGTTCCATTTACCCTACACCTATCCATCTATCCATTCGTCCATCTGTCTAATGACCTATTCATCTATCCATCCATACATTCATCCATCCATCTATCCGCCTCTAACAGTCCATTCATCAACCCACTCACTCATTCATTCATCCACATATCCATTCATCCATCCATCCCATTGTTTGAGTGCCTACAAGGGACTAGATACTGTTGCTCAGGCTAGGGTTACAAAGGTGAACAAGACAATATCCCTTCCCTCATTGAGTTTATATCTAGTGACTACCCTTGTGGGTTGGGGGTAGGATGTCTGCAGGTCATACCCTTTTAACAGAAATGCCCATCAGTGTTACAGTAGGACTTCCATTTCTAGTAGAACAGAGTCAGCTGCCTCCTCCTCCTCCGATGACGGACAGAACCTCTAGTTGGAGGAGAAAGCCATTCTTCTTGAGGACAGGGTGGGCCAAAGATGCCAAGAAAAGCTTTCTGAAGAAGAACAGACTAGAGCTGGGTTATCAAGGCCACAATCCTGGGTTGAACTCAGCATTCCCACCCTACTCACAACTCTCCCCTTCCCTCCCTCACCATGCCTGCTCCTGCTTGGCCCCAGGGTTGATGTTTCTTCTATAATTGTGTCTTCCTGCAGATCCTTCAGGTACTGCTGTCTCGCACAGGAATCCCATCCAGACCTTGGTGGAGACAGCCACCCTTCCTTTGACCACCACCACGACTCTGAGAATACCCCTTCCCAAGACCAGGACTGTGACCCAACCACTGCCCATGTCAACTGCCATTGTCTCCTCTCCAGGAGACGTCACAAATGTGGGGGGTGTCACTAGGTATGGTTTGCAGGCGTCTGGGACCCTGGTTGGACACAGAGTCCCTTGTTCCCCATCCACGTGTAGAGAAGATGGACCACTGAGGGGTAGTGGAGGGTGGAGAGCAGGAGCAGACTTGAATCCACCTCAGTCTGGGCTGGAAATGCCCAGGGAAGGAAGGAGGTGGTGGCAGTGTGAGCAGAAGGCTCTCAGGGAGGTGGCTACTCTCCCAGCTTACCCTTGGGTTGTCAGGGCACAGTAGAGCAGTGGGCATAAAGGGCATCTTCGGTGGACTGCAATGGGTCTCAGCCACCCCCAGGGCCCTGATTGTCTAGTGGAAAGGTCATTCTGAGTGAGGGACCCTGGATTCCAGTGCCAGCCAGACTAACTTCTGTGTGACTTTGTGTAAGTCTTCAACCGTGTTTGGTTTCAGTTTCCTCATCTGTCCTGTAGAGATACTAAAACACCAGAGCTGGAAGAGAGAATCTAGCCCAATGGCTCTCCCCAGAAACTACATGTTAGAGTTACCTGGAGTATTTGTTTTTGCTTACCTTTGTTATTAGAACTTCAGAAGGTGAAACCTAGCCATCAATAATTTTTAGAAAGAGATTGCAATGTGGAGACTGAGTTAAGAGCCATTCACTAAGCATGTACCCCCATTACAGTTTATTAATAGGTGGTGACTAATCTAAAAAAGTGTTTTTCACTTAATGTTGAAATAACAGAGAAAGAAAAATTCTTTCATATTTTTCTCTTATTCCCATCCTTCCATATTCCCATCAATCTAACATGTCATTTTTCCTCCATATTTTCTTCTTTCTTTATTCATGCCATTATGGATTGAATTGTGTACTCCAAAAATATGTGTTGTAAATCCTAACCTCTATGCCTGTGGTTATAATTCCATTTGGGAATGGGTTGTCTTTGTTATGTTAATGAGACAGGATTAGTGTAGGGTGTGTCTTGAGTCAATCTTCTCTGAGATGTAAAAGAGATTAAACAAGCAAGCCAAAGAATCAGATACAGGGAGAGATGCCAAGCCACATGAAGATTACCCAGGAGCAGAAGATCAAAAGAGACAAGGACCTTCCTCTAGAGCCAACAGAGAGAGTTAGAGCCTTCGCCTAGAGCTGGTGCTCTGAATTTGGAGTTCTAGCCTCCTAATCTGTGAGAAAATAAACTTCTGTTTGTTAAAGCCACACATTTGTGGTATTTCTGTTATAGCAGCACTAGATAACTAGGGCAAAATTTGATACTGAAAGAATGGGGCACTGCTTTAACAAATACATACAATGTGGAAGTGGTTTTGGAATTGGGTAGAGGCTGGAAGAGTTTTAAGGTGCCTAATAGTAAAAGCCTAGATTGACTTGAAGAGATAGGAGTCCAGGTCTACCTGTGTCTTCTAAATGTCAACAGATTTAAATCAGGATTTTCCATTGCATAGATGTCCTCTGATTCTACAGGGAAGGGGTCCCAAGGTGGGGAAAGGGTGATGGAAACTTCCATTCAATTAACAATACCAGGAGTCCATGAGTCCACTCCCACTCATGGTGACCCCATGTGTGTCAGAGTAGAGCTGTGCTCTAACAGTTTCGTTAGCAGCTGAGCATGTTAACAATTTCCATCATCCGTGAACTCAATCTGAGCAACGGCTAAGACCAATTTCCTCCTAAGTTTCCAAGAACAAACATTGCCTCTGTGTGACTCATCCTCACGTGCATCACACCCTCAGGATCCAGAATCCTGGGCAGAATCATGTATTTGGCCAAGCTGAGTCAAGTCACATGCCTGTACCGTCACTGCCAGGGTGAAGGGACGGGAGGATCATCTGCCTCCATCCTCAATAGGAAGGGAAGTGGGCTCTATATCCAAGAGAGACACACGCACTCGGTCATGTCCCCAAAACAGAAATGGTATTTGGTGCCAGAGAGACATATATGACAAACATCTAACCCAGAACTCCCCAAATTTAATCAGATTAAATGAGATCATCAGTAGGACTTTGATCAGTGGTAGTGACTACCATTGTTACTAAAAATGTCCTGGACTCCATGCCTAACCTGGACTGTGTGGCTCAGAGAAGCACACACCTGGTACACAGGCAGGAGAGCTGAAAAATGCCTCAGGACCCATTTGACCTAATCAGAAGTTTTGCAGGCAGGGTCTATTGTGGCCACTTGTCTCATAATCCCATAGGCTACTTGTAAAAATGCAGATTCCTGGGTTCTGCCCCAGACCTATTGTCATGGATTGAATTATGTCCCCCAAAAATGTGTGTATGAATTTGGCTGGGCCGTGATTCCCGGTATTGTATGATTGTCCACCATTTTGTCATCTCATGTGATTTTCCTCTGTGTTGTAAATCCTGCCTCTATGATGTTAATGAGGGGGGATGGGTGGCAGTTGTGTTGATGAGGCAGGATGCGATCTAGGGATTGAATTGTGTCTTGAGTCAGTTTCTTTGAAAGAGGTGAGCACAGAAACAAGGGGACCTCATGTCACCAAGAGAGCAGTGTCGGGAGCAGAGTGCATCCTTTGGACCCTTCCTGCACAGAGAAGCTCCTAGTCCAGGGGATGATTGATGAGAAGGACCTTCCTCCAGAGCCAACAGAGAAAGTGTTCCCCTGGAGCTGATGCCCTGAATTTGGACTTGTAGCCTACTAGGCTGTGAGAGAATAAACTTCTTTTTGTTAGATAACTAAGACAGAATTTTGTACCGAGAGAGTAGGGTGCTGCTCTAACAGATACTTAAAATATGGAATCAGTTTTGAAACTGTGAATGGATACAGGACTTAGAAGGAAGTGAGGAGAGCTGTTAACACCGGGGAAGGCACAGATGGTGAGAAGCAGTAGCAGAGGGACCGACAGGAACAGAGCCAAGAGATCAGCGTGAGAGGGCGCTGGAGCCAACCCACGAAGCGAGAGAACTGAGTGCCTTTGTGCAGGAGGCTTTCTAGCAGAGTGGGGTGTCTCCAGGCACTTATCGCTTGAGCTGCAGAGCTTTGGAACACTTGCCCCAGCAGGGCAGACGTGGGCATGAAGCCTGAGGGCCGAGAGGCCAAGGAACCAGGAAGCAGAAGCCGAACAGACAAGGAACACAGGAAGCTGAGCTGCCTCAGTCTCAAAGGGTATGGCCATGACCTCTGGGGTTTCAAAGGGTGGAGCCATGGCCTCCGGTGTTTCTAAGGGTGGAGTCACCACTCAGATGGACTAGGAGAATGGGGCTGCCCAAAGCTGAGGGAGCAGAGTTGCTGTTCCAGTGGGCCTGGAAGGTGGAGCTGAAGCCCAGGGCTGAGGGGCCTACACTCAGAATCCGGAAAGTGTGGTCAAAACCTAGAGCCTGGAGGCCAGGGCCTCTGTGTAAATTGTCTCAGAGAACAGAGGATTATTTTTAAAGCCTTGGGGCTAATGTGTTTTGCTGACTTGCTTGGTGTCTGTTATCCCTTCTTTCCCTCCAGTTTCTCCCATTTGTAATGGAAATGTCTAGCTTGTGCCTGTTCTGCCACTGTACCTTTAGAAGCAGATAACTTGTATTCTAGATTTCACAGATGAAGAGGAATTTTTGGATTTTGGACTTGGAGTTAAGACTTTTGCTATGATATGATGGGATGAATATGTTTTGCATGTTGCAAGGATGTGATTTTTGGGGGGCCAAAACTAAGACACATACCAAATCAAAGTCTCTGGGTATGGAGCCTGGGCATGTCTATATTTACCAAGTTCTTGAGGAATTTGGCTGCATGCCCATGTTTGAGAGCCACTGGTGTAGAGGAAAATTAAAGAAAGCAGGTAGCAGCAAGGCTTGAATGGGGACTTGCAAGGCAGGCAAGCATTCCAGAAGGGAGAAGAGTGGGAGGGATGGAGCAGTCAGTGCCAGGGATGCAGCTGTCTTGGTGACCTGAGGCAGGAAGTAGAGCAGAGGTTGGAGATCAGGTGGGTGGGTATGAAAGGTCCAGGCAAGGATTCTAGCCTGGCTGTGGTAGAGAATGGGGAGCCACTGAATGTTTCCCAATAGGACTATTACGTACGAAAGACAGGAAGGAAGATGTCACAAGAGCAGTGCTCTCTTTCTTCTTTGCCTTCTGCATTTCCATAAGCTACTTTCTTTTGTCAGGGTTCTCAACTGCAAAGTAACTGCAGAGCCACTCAGGGAAGAAGATAAACTTCCATACAGGCCCGAGTCCTCTAACAGCTCGGAAGGGCTCTGAGATGGCCAGCAGACAGAGAGTCCAGAAGCTGGATAGAATGGGGGCAACAGGGCTCTGGAGGTGGTCACGGCTGCTGCTGTTGCTGCTCTATGTCTCAGGTAAGGAGAGGCAGGAAAGCTGGTGGAGAAGGCACCAGGGACAGGGAGGTAGTAGACAGCTGAGGGGAACTTGTTGCTGTGGAGTCAATTCTGACTCATGGTGACCCCATGTGTTTTGGAGTAGAATTGCACTCCATAGGGTTTTATGGCTGTGACCTTTCAGAGTCAGATCACCAGGCCCTTCTTCTGAGGCAACTCTGTGTGAGTTCGAATTGCCAACCTTTCAGTTAGTAGCACAGGGCTTAACCATTTGCATCACCCAGTGACTCCTAGATGAGAGGGGGTGTTTAGTAAGAGGAGCCTTCTCCCGTTACTTTAGGATGAGCTGGGGTGGGATTAGGGTTTGTGTTAGAGACAGGAACAGCAAAAGGAAGATGATGAATGCAGACTGGGCTACAGCAGGAACTGGACAAGGAGATAGAAGCTGGAGGTTCCCCTAGAGCATCTTGACGATGAGAAAATTATGTGGAGCCATCCAAGCAAACCCTCATTCCTGTGCTGACACCCCAGAATATGTGCAGAAGAGTAAGATAGTCTACCCTAAAGGAACATTCAGTCACTGGGACGGAGCAGGCATTGGTAGTGGAAAGGTAAACAACATCAAAACAGCCAAATAGCAACATGAAGACATTCAGTGGTGTCACTATAGCAGGGCACAGAGAGGAGTGCACAGAAGAAGTTTAAGGTTCAGGAATCTGATTGAGTTGGATTCAAATCCTTTCTCGGCTACTCTCTACATGTGTGACCTTGAGAAACCCCTTTAACCTCTCTGAGTTTCAGTTTCTTCATTACTAAATAGGAATTAAATGGTCCCTACTTAAGAAGGCTGTCATAAGAATTAAACAGCAGATTGATATGAAGCTCTTGGCTCAGTATCTAGCATAGTAAGTGTTCAGTAAAAGTTATAACGGTGGATGATGATGATGGTGGTGGTGGCGATTATGACAATGATGTGACCATGTGTAGGGTGATCAATGGTATTGAGAGGTGAAAATAGAAAGAGATTTGTGCCAGCTGGAACTGTTCAGGTGACTCCCCTTGGGACTAAATGGGATGAAAATGGGTGGGAAGAGAATTCAACTTGGGGACACTAAGAGATAATAGAAAAGACAGTGTTTTAGGAAGCAAGGAATTTCTCTGCAGAACCACAAGTAGAGCAGAAAACAGGTGGTAAAACTGATAGAGTTCTTTTTTAGCTTTGTACTATGAAAACTTTCCAACCTACAAAAATATAGAAAGAATAGCCACTATAAATTCATCACTTAGATTCAACCATGATTAATATTTTGTTTTATTTGCTTCATATGTGTGTATTGTTGATATATACATATATAATTATTTTGAAGTGGCTTAAAATATCTCAAGTAAGGAGAGGCAGGGAGGCTGAGGGAGAGGGCATAGGAAGGATTTAGACATTCATTTTAAAATAATTTACAGAAATCCTAATGTCTCCTAAATGTTTGATGAAGCTAGTACTCCTCTTGACCTGTGGTCTTGTGGCTGCTATGCAGCCTGAGGCTGGGGTGCTGGAGTGGCGGGAAAAGCGAAAAGCGTTTGATCAGTGACACCACCTTGAATCCTCATTCTAGGGTTCCAAGCAGTAAGCATAATGGAGAAGAAAGTGTGCCTAATAGAAGGAAACAACCTAACGGAGATCTGTCCTTACAACATCATGAAATATGCCTCCAGCCTGAAGGCCTGGCAGCGGGTGAGGAGCCAGGGCCCCCCTGAGACGCTGGTACGCACGAAGACCAGAAACACAGACATAAATCAAGCCCAGGCTGGAAGGTACCTGCTGGAGGATTTTCCCACGGAAGCCGTTGTGAAGGTCACGGTGACAGGGCTGCAGAGGCAGGACAAGGGGCTGTACCAGTGTGTGATTGACCTGTCTCCTCGGGACCCCGTCATCCTGCATGATCGGATTCGGCTTGTTCACTGTGATGGTGAGCAGCAGGGACACCCCACCCAGGGAAGGGGCTTTGCAGAGCTGACCTCCTCAGCCAGAGCCTATAGGTAGGGTCCCTTCTGCCATGAGGCACGTCTTTCCTTCTTTCTTTTCTTCCTTCCTTCCATCTCTCTGTCTGTCTTTGACCCAGGTTGACCTCATCCTATTTCTTTGGTCCTAGTAAAAAAAAAACTGCTTCCTGAATGGTCATCTTCATATCCTTCCTTAGTTCCACATATCCATCCATCCATTCATCCATCTGTCTATCCACCTATTCATCCATGCATCTACGCATCTATCCATGCATCCATGCATCCATGCATCCATCCATCCATCCATCCATCCGTCCCATTGTTTGAGTACCTACCAGATACCAGACACTATTGCTTATGCTTAGATTACGGTGGTGAAAAGGACAATGTCCCTTTCCTTACCAAGTTTACAGTCTAGTGACTAGTCCTTGTGGATTGAGGGTAAGAAGTCAGCAGGTTAAATCACTTTTAAGAGAAATGTCCACGCTAGTGATACAGTATGACTTGCATTTCCAGTAAAACACAGTCAGCTCTTTCCTCCTCCAAAAATAGACAGAACCTCTAGTTGGAGGAGAAAGAGCCATTCTTCTTGAGGCCAGCAAGGGGAAGGTGCTGGTGGGCCAGAGATGCCAACAAGTCTTCCTGAAGAAGGACTGACTAGAGCTGGGTCATCAAGGCTACAATCCTGGGTTGAACTCAGCATTCCCCACCTTACTCACAACTCTCTCCTTCCCTTCACCACCATGTCTGCTGCTGCTTAGCTCCAGGGTTGATATTTCTCCTATAATTGTGTCTTCCTGCAGATTCTTCAGGTACTACTGTCTTGAACAAGAATCCCATCCAGACCTTGGTGGAGACAACCACGCTTCCTTTGACCACCGCCACCATGACCCCGAGAACCCCCCTTCTTAGGCCCAGGACTGTTACCAAACCACTGTCCACGTCAACTGCCATTTTCTCCTCTCCTGGTCTCAGAAACAACTTCACAAATGTGGGGGATGTCACCAGGTATGGTTTGCAGGCCTCTGTGCCCCTGGCTGGACCCAGAGCCCTTTGCTCCCCATCCGCGTGTTGAGAAGATGGGCCCCTGAGGAGTAGGGGAGGGTGGAGAGCAGGAGCAGACTTGAATCCACCTCAGTCTGGGCTGGAAATGCCCAGGGAAGGAAGGAGGTGGTGGCAGTGTGAGGAGGAGGCTCTCAGGGAGATGGCAACTCTCCCAGCTCCCCTCGGGGTGTCAGTGCACAGCAGAGGAGTGGGCATAAGGAAATGGCATCTTTGGTGGACTGCAATGGGCCTCAGCCACCCCTAGGGCCCTGATTGTCTAGCAAAAAGATCACTCTAAATGAGGGACCCTGGATTCCAGTGCCAACCAGACTAACTTTTGTGTGACTTTGTGCAAGTCTTCAACCCTGTCTGGCTTCAGTTTCCTCATCCGACCTGTAGAGATACTAGAACACCAGAGCTGGAATAGAGAATCTAGCCCAACAGCTCTCCCCAGAAACTACATGTTAGAATTACCTGGAGTATTTGGTTTTGCTTTCCTTTTTTTTTTTTTTTTTAATATTGATGCTTGGGCCCCAATAAATCAGATTTTCAGGAGGTGGGAGCTAGCCATCAATAATTTTTAGAAGATTGCCAAGATACTGCAATGTGGAGGCAGAGTTAAGAACCATTCACTAAGCATGCACCCCCATTACAGTTTATTAATACGTGCTGATTAATCTAAAAATGTGTTTTTCATTGAAAGTTGAAATAAGAGAAAGAAAAATTCTTTCATATTCTTCTCTCATTCCCATCCTTCCATATTCCCACCAATCTAACACGTTTTTTCCTCCATATTTTCTTCTTTCTTTATTTGCATGTATGCATATCTTAAGGAGCCCTGGTGGCGCAATGATTAAATGCTTGGCTGCTATGGAAAGGTGGATGGTTGGAACCCACCAGTGGCTCCGCAGGAGTAAAGACCGGGAGATTTGCTTCCGTAAAGATTACAGCCTAGGAAACCCTATGGGGCAGTTCTACTTTGTCCTGTATGATAACTACGAGTCAGAATCAACTCAATAGCACACAACAACATACATATTTTAACATAGCCATAATTCTAATTATAAACATTTTACTATTCTTTCCTTCTATCACTATTCTTTGATGTTGCTACCTAATCTTTATAACTGTAGTTTCAATGAATGCATACTTTTCTATCAACTGAAAAGCTATGATTTATACAATCATTTTCCTGTTTTTAGACAATGAGTTTGTTTTCATTTTTTAATTTTTTTTCCTTTATAATACTGATAACTCTGGTAGGAACATATTTTTGAAAATTTTTCTGTTTTGAAATGGTTCATTCTAAATAAATTCCCAGGAATGGAAGAGAATCTGAACATTTATATGGTTCTGTATCCATGTTAGGAGACCCTGGTGGCGTAATGATTAAGAGCTACGACTGCTAACCGAAAGGTCAGAGGTTTGAATCCACCAGGTGCTCCTTGGAAACACTATGGGGCAGTTCTACTCTGTCCTATAGGTCGCTATGAGTTGGAATTGACTCGATGTCAGTGAATTTTGTATCCATATTGCTAAATGATCTTCCAAAAGATCGGATACTGCTTACAGTGTGATCCCTGATGCCTAGTGAAGCAGTCACTGCAGGCTTGCCTACCTGGTTTGATATTAAAAAAATATTCGTGTTGTAATAGACGTGAACTGGTACCTGCTTCAGTTCTCTATTACTGTGGACTGTGAGCCCCATGGGGGTACAGGCAGTGCCTTCTTTCCCTAAACATTGTTTCACTTGACTACCTAAGTGCCTGATACATAGAAGGTGCTCATGAAGTATTTATGGAAGAAATAAAATGGATGTTCATGTAATGAGAGTGAACATTTTTCTTCATTCACTTCTTTTATTTTTCAATATGAAAATTGACCTTTCCCCACGTTCCTATAAGAGCCTTCAACAATTCTGTATACATTCCAGAAGAAAATCAAATCCATTGTCATTAAGTTGATCCAACTCATAGTGACCCTATAGGGCAGAGTAGAACTGCCCCAAAGGGTTTTCGAGGAGCGGCTGGTGGATTTGAACTGCCCAGCTTTTTGTTAGCAGCCGATCTCTCAACCACTGCATCACCAGGGCTCCATGTATACATTACCTGATACTAACTATTCTCTCAGTCAGAGTCCAGTCAGGAAAACAGAAGCCACTCCAGCTGTTTGGAAAAAGGGAATACAACACAGGGCGCTGTTTGCTCAGGTGATGGAAGAGCTGAGAAGCCAGCCTGGACGTGGTGAGGCACCTCAGAGGAGGCCTCGGAAGCCACTATCACCCTGTCTTGGGTGGGCTCCTTAGAAACAGACCCTGAGAGAAAAGTCCTGTGAAAGCCATTCAGGAAGTACTTCCAGGCAAAAAAAAAAAAAAAAAAAAAAAAGGAGAGACGTGAAAGTGAGAAGCAAAGCAAACCAAGCAAGGGGCCGCATCAAGACAAGTCCTGGAAGGTAACTTTGGCTCAGTCCTGCAGGGGAGCTTTGGACACTGGAGTTGTCTGGATCAGGGATGGGTGAGATGGAGTATTTATCGTCCCACTTTCTCAGTCATTGGATAAGAGAGGCTCCAGGGGGGTATGAATTCCCAGGCACTTCAGTGGGTCGGGCAGCCTGAGTGCAGCCTCTCTCACAGAGACAGAGGTGCTGGTTTGTGGGAGTGGGCACCCCCCAGAAGCCCCAAGCATGAAAATGGGTGAGGGACTCAGATGGGATTAGGCCGGTCTGTGGCCTGAGAGACATGGGGAGGAGGTGGTTATGGACTTATGGCAACCCCACGTGTGCAGAGTAGAACTATTCCATAGGGTCTTCAGGGCTGTGACCTTTCAGAAGCAGATCGCCAAGCCTATCTTTCAAGTCACCGCTGGGTGTGTTCCAACTACTAGCCTTTTGGCTAGTAGCAGAGCACTTGACAGTTTGTGCCACTCGGATGCCTGCTTTACCCAATAGGGGGACTATTTCCTTAGATGTTAAATTGTTACATAACATTAGATATATTTCTGCCATTGATTCTATTTGTGCCATTGGTACATATTTCTCTTTTTGTGCGAATGTCTCATTTAAATGACTTTTGTTAACTGTTTCCAGAACTGCTGGACTTGCCTCATTTCCCTACTCATTTGTATTTCTTTCTTGCGTCTATTGACTTTTGCAGAGTACTTTTAGAAACAGCTAACATCTCAAAAAATTCCAGATGTGAGATATTGGCTAGGATTGAAATTTTCTCAGTTGAAAGATGAGGAGAATGAGGCTAAAGAGGTGAAGTAAATATTCCAGGAAGTAAGTGTTGGTCCTGTGAAGAGAAACGAGGTTTCCTGTCTCCTGCAACCACACTTGCTTTCAGCATGGCAACGAGGTTGAGAGATTAGTCTGGCCCTTTCCCTCAGTGGGATTCCTGGTGGCACCGTGGTTAAGAGCTCGGTTGGTAGTTCAAATCTACCAGCTACTCCTCAGAAACCCTGTTGGGCAGTTCTACTCCGTCCTATAGGGCTGCTATGAGTCGAAATCGCAACAGGTTCCCGCAGTGCCTCTGCTGCACATGGACCCTATTCCCCCTACTAACTGTATTTCTAATCAGCAGTTTAAGCTAATGAGACATAGCCCCAGGGCCAGTCAGTATGGGGAAGTGCTGGAAGGATCTAAGAAGAGGAGAAAGGGGCATGAGAGGATTTTGTAAATACTCGTGTGAGGCAGCCTCATTCTCAGCAAAAGCATTAAATCACCTCTGTCCCCTACAGGGTCTCTGTGTTCAGCATTGTCACTCTTGTGGTGTGTGGAATCCTGAGCAAGAGTCTGGTCTTCACTGTCCTACTTGTTGTCACACAGAGGTCAGCTGCACTATAGCTCCATGAACCAATGAGAATGACTTCTGACCTCCATTAGCATACATCTGGCAGTTGTGCCTGAAGAAGACTATGTGTGGATTGAGGATATGGGTGGAGTAGGGGACAAGGACATGGACTGAACCTGGAATCACAGGTTGTTTCTAAGATCCAGGATACTACCTTCCAGATCCTGCCTATGCCCTAATTTCACTGCAAACTTCGATGTGTGCTATGCACTCTCCAAAGAGAAGGTGCACCCAACCATGCCCTGGCCCTTCATTCCACTGGTGGCTCAGTGTTCGCACTCAATAAAGACAGAGTCCAATGCCTTTCACTGTTGCTGTCTTGTGGGGGATCTTGAGGTGCTGTGGGCACAGTTGATAATTCTGTCCCTGGTTCTTGCCCTGGACCATAACATATTGACCTGACATGGTCAGGCTCGCACTGCAGAAACATCCTGCTCTCTTGGCACCTGGGCCTTCCTTTCCTTTAGAATCAGGCACCTGGGTTCCTCCCTTCATCTGGGCCTTTCTGGAGTGGCCTTCCCAGAAAGGGGTGTGGTAAGCCGTGGAATGAGGAGAAGATAAAGACACACTGGGGGAAAAACCTATGTTTTGTAGAGAACCAGAGTCAACCTGAATGTTCTGAAAATTGATAACCCTATGGAAAACAGTTCTACTCTGACATACATAGGATTGCCATGATTCAGAACTGACTCGATGGCAGTTGGGTTTTCAGGAGTCTCTGAGTGGTGCAATGGTTAAATGCTCAGCTACTAACTGGAAAGGTTGGAGGTTGAATCCACCCTGAAGCACCTCAGAATAAAAGCTTAGGTATCTAAATCTGAAAAATCAGATGTTGAAAACCCTATGCAGCGCAGTTCTACTGAGACAAAAATGGGGTCACCTTGAGGCAAAATCGACTTTGTTTGGACTTTTGGTTTGGAAAAATACTGGAAGGATGGCATTGGGGGATCTATAGGGTAGGGTCAATAGATAATATCAGACATGCCTCTGTGCATTTTATCACTGGATCCTCAAAACAACACCGTGAAGACAGAGAAGAATGTGACTGGAACAATACAGTTAACATGTCACCACTTATTGGCCAGGACCTAAAACTAGAGAGTTCCTTTACTGAAGA